ACAAGAAACTTCAGTAAAAAATATGAAAAATCTTACTGATCCCAAACTTTTGAACGGTAGTATATATATATATATATATATATATATATATATATATACTGGAGGAGCTTTAAAGTGCTGTAAGTGATTTCAGCGCGTGAACCCCATTTCTCCAAAACCCCGCCCTCCAAAGACAACAGCCAATCCAGTGTCTGCAAACCCAGACTTGCAAAATGATTGACAGGCAGAGATTATTTCTGAGTGGCTTAAAACTTCCAGATTCTTTTTTACTGTTCACAGGGCCTTGTGATGTCATATAGATGTGTGTGATTTCTCAGGACACCTATATCAGTGATATCTGCCAGGGACGTTTTATGAGCGATATTCCCTAAAAATCACTTACTTTAATATCCGGTGTAAAACGCTATCAGTCTCAAATGGCAGTTTGTGATGGCATCACCCTAGACAAATGCTAATACAAGCGGTAAACAGAGCCCTTGTGTGCGAGTGTGTTATTGAAATGCGCTCTCTCTCTCTCTCTTTCTCCAGGTGCTGTTTTTTCTGATGTTGGCCATGCCAGAGGCTTTGAGCAGGGAGGCAGTTGTGGATGTCCCGCTGGCGTCATCTCTGCTCTCTCTGCCCTTTTACCTGCTGTGTTTGTTTGGCTCGGCCCTTCACGTGCTGGTCTGCACCTCCTCCGGGGGCCCCTGCTACCTCTGCTCTCTCCCTTGGGTCCTAGTGTTCACTGTCATCCTCTTGTCCTCCACCTTCACATGTGCTCTGGTTAGCATGGCAGCGAGGAGGATGCCGGTCAGCAACAAGACCCCTGCTAAGGTGAGTGAAAAGTTTCTGCACCATGAGCATCACCAAATAACCATAACCACAACATTACTCTGAAATAAAGTGCAAAAGGTTCTGGAAGTAAAAACACCATTCATTTTCTCCATCGGGAAATTGATTTTTTAACGATAACTAATAAACCTTTAAAGACAGACCTGTTGTGAGCTCTGAGGTTGTTAATCAATAGTATATGCTCTTGTTGAAGCCGTTTTGTTGAAGCAAAATGTTTGTGAAATAATAACGTTTAATTGCAGAATTTGTGGTGAAAAACTACATTTCCCATGATGCTGTACAAAAAATTCAACCAATCAAACATTTGCATCACCTGACAGGGTGTCCGCGGGTCCTTAAAAAGTCTTAATGTCTTAAATAACGTTTTCCTAATATAAGGCCTTAAAAAGTCTTAAAATTCGGATTCGATGGGTCTTAATTATTTTTGGTCTCATTACCGCTAAAATATCTTCAGTCTGACGGACCTATGACTGTTTACAATCATTGGACAGACCGAAGATGTTTTTCCCCCCGCGGTAAGTTACTGCATCATCAGAGAGAACTGCAGTAAGTTAGCAGAATACAGAATACAAGCTCGCGCTGAGGCTCACTCTGTTTGTCTCGAGACTTCAGAACAAATGAGCGTGACCGAACATATAAACTCAGAAGAAACACACTGAGGCAAAAATTCAAAATGTTTAGTTTATTCATAACATGATATAGTTAAGTAACACCATGACAAGTGAGCTATTTTGCTCAATATTCTCACGACGCAAAAAAAAACAAACAAAAAAAAAAACGTTCAAAACACCTAACTTACAGAGTGCACACATTACGTGAAGTCTAGTGCGCGTGCGCATTTACAGTGCGCTCTTTTATGGCATGATTCAGTCTATTAAAATACATTCAGAAT